ATTGTCCGTATTAACATATTTACCTTGCACTCTCATTATTTTATCACAAGCATGTTTCCATGTTGTTATCTAGCATTCACAGCCATCAGCCTTACAGCTGAGTAGCATTCCATAAAGCGGGCGGTTATCCTTTACTTCCCAGTATCCCAGTAGTGGATATTTAGGTTTCTCTCTGGAGTGTTAGGCATGGTTGGAAGAGATGATGAAGATGCAGTAGAGCAGATGAGAGCTCAGAGCGTTTTCTTGCCATTGGAGGCTGGGTATTTGGTACGTTATTGGCTTGGCCAAAATTCTGTTGACCAACTTGCCCAAAGAACATGCGGATTCACTGTGTTTATTTGCTTTTGATTTTGTTAACTATTAGCATTATGAGGTAGCACAATACTTACGTTCTAAAATGTAGGGACAATTTTAAGTTAACAATGTATTTAAGTAAAATGAGATCACCTATTATTTTTATTTTAAAAAGGCAAGGAATTTGTTTCTTTGGGGAAGTGGTTGGGAAAAAAAGTAAAAAATTAGCTAGTTTGTAAAGGTCAATATTGGGATCAAAGGAATGAAAGCAAAAATGAACATGGGGTGTTGACAGTTTTTTCCATTTCCTTTCCTAAATCTATGGTTTTCAACTTTGGTTGCATATTAGAAAAATACTGATCCATAGGCCCTAGGCCCATAGGCCCTACAAACATCAACTTAATCTATTTATGGTGGAGCCCAGGTGAGTGCTGGCAGTGTCAGGGTCCACCGTCCCAAAGGCTCTGCCCCAAATAGCATGAATAGACATTCAGCCTCACCAGCCATCAGAGAAACTCAAGATAAAATGACAAATTCTGACTAAAAACACATAAAACATTAGAATATGGGGTAGGTGTTGTGGCATAGCAGGTAAAGCTCCTGCCTGTGATGCTGGCATTCCATATGAGCACCAGTTTGTATCCCAGATGCTCCACTTCCAATCCAGTTCCCTGCTAATGTGCCTGGGAAAACAGTGGAGGACAGTCCAAGTGCTGGGATTCCTACATCCATGTGGGAGACCAGGATGAAGTGCCTGGCTTCTGGCTCTGGCTTCGGCCTGGCCCAGCCCCAGCCATTGCAGATGACAGATCTCTCTGTGTAACTGATCTTTTTTTTTTTTTTTTTTTGGACAGGCAGAGTGGACAGTGAGAGAGAGAGAGATAGAGAGAAAGGTCTTCCTTTGCCGTTGGTTCACCCTCCAATGGCTGCCGCAGTTGGTGCTCTGCGGCTGGCATGATGCGCTGATCCTAAGCCAGGAGCCAGGTGCTTCCTCCTGGTCTCCCATGCGGGTGCAGGGCCCAAGGACCTGGGCCATCCTCCACTGCACTCCCGGGCCACAGCAGAGAGCTGGACTGGAAGAGGAGCAACTGGGACAGAATCCAGCTCCCCAACTGGGACTAGAACCCGGTGTGCCGGTGCTGCAGGCGGAGGATTAGCCTATTGAGCCGTGGCGCCGGCCTGTAACTGACTTTCAAATAAATCTTAAAAAAATACTAAACATGTTGAGCAAAATTAGATGCAGAATGCTTCTATGAGAATGAAATTCCAGGGGGGCAGTGCAGTGGCACAGTGGGTTAAAGCCCCAGCCAGCAGTGTCGGCATCCCATATGGGTGCTTCTCTTATTCAAATCCAGCTCTCACTATGGCCTGAGAAAGCAGTGGAAGATGGCCCAAGTCCTTGGGCCCCTGCACCCACATAGGAGACCAGGAAGAAGCTCCTAGCTCCTGGTTTCAGATTAGCTCAGCTCTGGCCATTGTGGTCATTAGGGGAGTGAACCAGCGTATGGAAAACCTCTCTCTCTCTCTGGCTCTACCTCTTTCTGTAACACTTTAAAATAATAAAAATAAATATTACAAAAAAAAAAAACACAAAAAGAAATTCCAAAGTTGGCAGAAATTAGAACAGTGGTTGCTTGAGGGAGGTTGAAGAAGCAGGAGGTGCAGATTGACTGCAACAGCAGGAGAGAGCTTAAAGGGAGAGGGAAAATGTTCTGTGTCTTAACCAGGGTGACAGTCATGTGGGTGTGTATACATTTGTCAAAACTTAACGAATTTTACATGAAAAAAAATTTGTATTTCAACTAAACAGAGAGTAATGGGGGAAATTTCATCAAAGCCCCTCTCCCCTAACAATAGTAGCACCCAGTACTACTGAGGATGTGGAAAAACTGCTATTCTTATACCATGGTGGCAGAAATGTTTGGTAGGATGCTTCTGAATTTTTTTTTTTTTTTTTGACAGGCAGAGTTAGACAATGAGAGAGAGAGAGAGACAGAGAGAAAGGTCTTCCTTCCACTGGTTCAACCCCCCCAAATGGCAGCCAAACCTGGCGCGCTGCGCCGATCCTAAGCCAGGAGCCAGGTGCTTCCTCCTGGTCTCTGATGTGGGTGCAGGGCCCAAGGACTTGGGCCATCCTCCACTGCCTTCCTGGGCTACAGCAGAGAGCTGGACTGGAAGAGGAGCAACCGGGACAGAATCGGCGCCCCAACTGGGACTAGAACACAGAGTACTGGCGCCTCAGGCGGAGGATTAGCCTAGTGAGCCGTGGTGCAGGCAGGGGGGGTGGGGAGAGAGAGAGAGAGAGAGAGAGATCTTCCATCTAATGCTTAACTCCCTAACTGGCTGCAATAGCCAGAGTTGCCGCAATCTGAAGCCAAGAGTCAGGAGCTTCTTCTGGGTCTCCCACGCGGATACAGAGGCCCAAGGACTTGGGCCATCTTCTACTGCTTTCCTAGGCCATATCAGAGAGCTGTATCAGAAGAGGAGCAGCTGGGACTAGAACTGGCACCCATATGGGATGCCGGTGCTTCAGGCCAGGGCGTTAACCCACTGAGCCACAGCGCCAGCCCCCTGAATGTTTTTGTTAAAACATGATAAGATCCAAATGAAATGTATATATCAAAATCATTTTTCCAGTGTTATTGTTAATAAAACTATTCATCATCAAATTACTGAGCAATTCTGAACTAAAATAGGGTTGTGTTGTGAGGGTTAATTCTAGCAGGCCTAGAATTAACTTAAGCAACTTTGCTTAAGTTCTGCTGGGCAAAGCATGAAGTATATTGATTAAAGTAATGTGGCTCCTTAACCACAGGCCCCAGGAGTTTCATAGCAATTGGGACCAGTCTGTCAGCATTTTTTATTGGTGACTGTGAGAATGAAGACTATACCTCGTCTCAGCAAGAGTCCAAGAAGGCTCTGCTCTTTAGGAAGCTTATGGAGTGGGACTATGAAAAGATGTTAGATACTTCATGGAAGAGTGGAATTAAAAGATAAGTTTGGGATAAGCATTGTGGCAGAGTAGGTTAAGCTGATGTTTGGGATGCCACTTTCCACAGGGGACTGCCAATTGGAGTACTTGGGCCCCTGCCACCCATGTGGCAGACCTGGATGGAGCTCTGGGCTCCCGGCTTCTGCCTGGACCAGCACTAGCTGTTGTGGCCATTTGGAGAGTGAATCAGTGGATGAAAGATCTCTTTCTCTCTCTCTCTAACTCTATTATGCTTCATTTCAAATAAATAAATAAATAAAATTTTTAAAAGATAGGTTTTGGTGCAAAAGTTTATTGAAATCCACACTTAGTTTTTTCATAAAATGGATTTTTCCATGTACTTTTTGAAGACCCCTCATACGGTACACATATCAATAATACCCAGTGTCAATTCATTTGGCATTTTTATATACTGTAAATCCAGCACCTCATCCTCCTGCCTCAATAGCAAGACACAGTGTGGCAAGGGCACCTGCATAGGTTATCATAGGATTGAGTTCCAGTCTCAGAGAGTTAACAGCATGGCTGAACCACACACACACACACACACATACACACACTCCCTCTACCATGGTTTCTACATTTCTCAATGATATAAGGGTCAAGGTGAGATAATAAATACCCATGGCTTTGAAAAATATTTGCTATAAGAAGTAGACAATGACTTTTAGATTATTAAAATCATCAATACAGTAGGTAATGACCTAATTGAACAAGAAACTTCAAATTAGCCAAAGACTACAAGAGCTATGAGTCAAGAGGTGGGTCATGGAGAAAGAACAAAAAGTCAATATAGGGGTAGCACTTAGCATGTGCCAGACATGGCTCTAAGTCAGTGCCTTACATGTGTTTACTCACTCAATTCTCACAACAACTTAAAGAGGTAAATGTTATTGTTTTGCCTGTTTTAAAGATGAAGGAGTTCTGGCACAGAGAGGCTAAATAACTCACACAAGGCTACACAGCTGGTTTCTAATAGATTCAGGATTCATCCCCCAGGCAAAGTGGCTCCCTTGTCCATTCTCTCAACTACAGGGTTACACTTCAGAGAGGAGGAGAGTGGAAGGAATTTGGCTGAACAATGAGCAGGGAACGGAGAGAAGAGCAGGAAGTTCAGGAACATAAATTTTTATTGCATTCCTAATCAATACTAGGAACTATGGGTGAAGAGATGAGTAACACCATGGCCCACTCCCTTGAAAGGTCTCTAGTTGGTTGGTGAGAAGATAGCTAATAAAACACATTGTCTCAAAACACTGTGGCAAGTCTGAAGCAAGTGCAGAGAGGCATGTACCAAGGACCAGAGGGACACCAGGAGTGAGCAATGCATCCAGCCCGAGCTGGAGAAGTCAAGAAAGGCTTCTTAGAGGTGACTCCCAATCTAGGGATGCTGGGGAGAGGGTGGTACAGGCTGAGGAAAGTATGTGAGCGGGAAAACAGCCTGATGGTAAGTGAGAGGGTTCATTTAGGAGAAAACAGGTGAGATTCCCCAGAGCTCAAGAAATGGGAATCCTCCTCTTCCTCCAGATCGAGAAGAAATTGGGCCCCTCATCTCCCTAGGAGAAGCCCTAGAACTTCTGGAAACAGAGGGAAATTAAGTTGGCCCTCTTGAAAGGTTGCTTCCGTGAGCATCTGCTGGCTTAGTCCTAGAGCAGACTCAGTAAGAAGGAACCACCCCCTGGTTTTCCTCCAGTGGGAATTTGTTTTTGTTTACCTCACGTGGACATCAACCTGCTTCAGAAATCGCCCGTACTCTTCACAGAGAACTTCCTTCTCCTGCTGTAACCTGGACAGCTTCTCTGACAATTCCTGGTTGTTCTTCATATGCTGAAAAACATTTAAAAATATTTGTTTGATTTTTAAAAACACAATTTATTTATTTGAAAGGCAGAGTGGGGGCTGGTGCTGTGGCATATGGGGTAAAGCCACCACCTGTAATGCCAGCATCCCACATGGATGCTGATTTGTGGCTCAGCTGCTCCACTTTTGATCCAGCTCCCTATTAAGGGCCTGGGAAAAGCAGCAGAAGATGGCTCAAGTGCTTGGGGCCTTGCCCACCACACTGGAGACCCGGATGAAGCTCCTGGCTCCAGATTTCAGCCTGGCCTAGCATTAAAGTCATTGAAGCCATCTGGGGAGTGAACCAGTGGATGGAAGATCGATCTCTCTCTCTCTCTCTCTCTCTCTCTCTCTGTGTTTTTCCCTCTCTCTGTCAATTGTTAAAAAAAAAAAAAGAGTGAAGAGAGAAAGGGCAAGATAAGAGATTTTTTCATCTGCTGGTTCATCCCCAGTATGGCCTCAATAGCCAGGTCTGGGCCAGGCCAAAGCCGGGAACTCCATCGGGGTCTCCCAGATGAGTAGCAGGAACCCAAATATTTGGGCCATCATTTTCTAATGCATCTTCCCAGGTGCATTGGCAGTGAGGCTGGCTTGGAAGTGGAGTAGCCGGGACTCAAACTGGCACTCTGATAATAGCATTAGGGCATCACAAGTGGCCCCAAAACATTTTTTTAGGGTGTAAGGATACTCTGTGCTCATAATAGCTTGATGCTGAATTGGCGAAGCCTTTCTGTCAAAAAAACTTTAGAGTCACTCCAGGTTCTGAGGTCACAGTAGCTTCATCTGATTGTTATATGTGTGCTTCCAGTTCTCCTTAAAGGCAGCAGCTGTTTTCCTTAACTTTAACCCTCTCCAGCCTTCCCAATAATTTTGTAAGCACCTAATTCCCTACATTAAAAATCCTCCCAGCATGGAGTTCAGAAAGTGAAAGCTGTTCTGTTGACCTAATCTTGACTGATGAAAGAACTTGGTTCTAGAAGTGACTGCAGTGAGCTGAAGCTCAAGGGTGGGAGTCTGAGCTTGTTTATCTGACCTGGTTGGATATGAAGGTAGTAAGATCTTGTCACTAACACTATGTGGCAAAAGAGTTGATTAAATTATCACTTATAGATGCCTATGATGAAGTGCTTTGGGAGACCACTTCGCTGTACAAGTAATATTACATTGGAATTGAGAACTTAAGGACTGTGGGACTGTGGGATTGAGCTAGCCACGTCTGGCCTTCTTAATAAGTTTATAAGGAGAAAATGTCCAAATTGAAGATTTAATTATTGGGACAGAGCATCATCAGAGAACCAGAGAGCTTTTAGGAGTATCCTGAAGAAACCTCTTCACTCTTGGAGCCAGAAGGCCAATTTATCCAAAAACCAAATCCTAACTTTCATAAAGTAGGTTGCATAATTATGCACACATTGTTTTCATAGCCTTTTCAAGTCTCCTTTGTGATAAATGGGGCTTGGGAAAGGCCAGGTTAATTGAGAACTGGGAGTGACAACATCTGAGGGAACTGCAGTGACATTCAGTTCTTAGGTCTCCAAATTGGATGGAGACTCTCATGCCAGCATCAGCATTCCCTCCTCTGATGGCTAAAGATTTTAGCCACCTTTGCTTAGATCAGCATTGATGCCACCTGCGACAGTTATCTTGTAAGAGGTTACCTATTGTTCACCTCTGTACCACTACCCATCACACGGCTTCCAATCCTGTAACTAGAGTGAGATCCCAGCACATCCTGGGGTGTGAGTTGAGTACAAGGACTGGCAAAATTTTGCCAATCGAATTGGCATAAACTCAAGGAATATATAGATGTAGGAATGTGCTTGTAGGGCTTTATGTTATGGAGGAAGGAATATAATGTTGACTATGCAGAATTTATTGATATGAATGCACTTATCAGAGAGTCAGAACTTAATATGTTAATTGGGTCATCTAAAACTAGTGTTCTTGGTTGGTTGACTTATATTTGAACTCCATAGGACCTATATTAAATGACATACTTCTTTGGAATGAGGAAGAGGAGGGTATCCATAGGCTTAAACAGATAGAAAATTTGGAGTAAATTTATCAGGGTGACCTGTTCATGCAGCAGAAAACCATGGAGATGCAGAAGACACTGTTTTCACCAAGGCGTTACCAAGAACCTTGTGAGGGAGCACCAAATTCCTTGCAGTGCTCTACAGTGCGAGTGCAAACCTGCTGAGGATGCTAACATTGAAATGGCTCCCTGATTTTAAGGGGGTGGTGGTTCCAAAGAGTGTCAGAGCTTAAGTAGCAGTACTTAGCCCCTAGATACAGGGTGGACATCAGTACTGTAAATAGGCAAAAGGACCAGAGACATAATCAAATGATTGGACCCGTGGCAATCTGGCTGTGGTTCATTGATCACAACGGTTGCAGGATTAGAACAGATGGGCTGCCAATGAAAGTCTTACTTGAGGTGAACAGAGGCTCAACTTAAATGACAAGAATGGTGAGGCATGGCCTTTTCTTCCTCGTTCTCTATACCTGAGCCACTTCACAGATTCAGAGGTCTTTGAGTGATAGAAACACCAGGCTTTCTTCAGGAGAAACCCTGCTTACTGCCACAAGTGTGTGATCTTTTCCCAAAGAGACCTCTGGTCTTTTACCAAGACCAGAACCTGGAGAAAGGGAATTACATAGACTTTTGGGGGATTACAGTACAGTGGTTTGGAGACACTAAGACCTTAGGAAACAAAACAACATTGATCTTTCACAATTCAGGGTGGGGGAGGCAAGAAAATAAGGTAGAAAATGGAGTTTTAATTCAGTGTGTTTTACAATGTGCTTTTTTTAAAAAAAAAAAAAAAAGACCAAAAAACAAACAAAAATAAAACAAAATAAAAAGAAACAGAGGGGCCAGTGCTCTGGTGTAGCAGGTAAAGCTACTGCCTGCAGTGCTGGCATCCCATATGGGTGCTGGTTCAAGTTCCGGCTGCTCCAATTCCGATCCAGATCTCTGCTATGGCCTGGGAAGACAGTAGAAGATAGTCCAAGTGCTTAGGGCCCTGCACCCACGTGGGAAGACCCAGAAGAAGCGCCTGGTTCCTGGCTTTGGATTGGCCCAGCTTCTGCCATTTTTGGCCATCTGGGGAGTGAACCAGCAGATAGAAGACCTCTTTCTTTCTCTCTCTCTCTCTCTCTCTCTCTCTCTCTCTCTCTCTGCCTCTCTATAACTCTGCCTTTCAAACAAATAAATAAATCTTAAAAACAATAAAATAAACAAAATAAAATAAAAGAGTGTGTTTATGGCGACTCCATAGCTCAGCGTACATTTTACAGTGGGCCTAGTGAGTTTGTGGATCTCCCCAGTGGTTATTTCCTCAGTTTTTGAATGCATAATCAGAACTTCAGGTTCTCCACGCTGGCTTTTTGACCTGAGGAGTGGGGGCTACTGATGTTAGAAAAGGTAGCCAAGTGCCTGGAGCTGCCTCTTGGAATACATATGCGCCACATTCGCTCCTTCAACACCTTTATCAAGTAACCTTCAGGGCTGCAAGTTTTCAGTGGTGCTCATATCAGGGTATCTTTGTTGCTTCCATGTTTTGCCAACTTTGAACAAAGCTACTACAAACATCTATGTGCAGATTTCTGGGTGGGTGTACATTTTCAACTCCTTTGGGTAAATATGAAGGGGCATGAATCCTGGATTCTATGTTAAGATAATACATTATACGTTTAGTTTTCCAAGAAACTACCAAGCTGTCTTCCAAAGTGGCTGTACCACTTAGCAGACCTATCAGCAATAACTGACAATTCTTATGGTTCCACATTCTTGCCAGCATTTTGTACTGTCAGTGTTCTGGACTTTGGCCATTCTAATAGTTGTGCAGTGGGATCTTATTGTTGTTTTATACTGTAATTCCCTGACGACAAACCGTGTGGAAATTCTCTACTCTTAGTTTACTGAGATTTTTTTTCCTAATATATCATGAATGGATGTTGGATTTCATCATATCATTTTTATGTTTGCTATAGTTTTTTTTTTATTTTTAAAAGATTTATTTATTTGAAAGTCAGAGTTACAGAGAGAGGTAGAGACAAAGAGAAAGAGGTTATCCATCCATTGGTTCACTCCCCAAATGGTTGCAACAGCCAGAGCTGAGCATATCCAAAGCCAGCAGCCAGGAGCTTCTTCTGGGTCTCCCACATGGGTGCAGAGGCTCAAGCACTTGGGCCATCCTCTGCTGCTTTCCTAGGCACATCAGCAGGGAGCTGGATAGGAAGTAGAACAGCTGGGACTCGAACCGGCACCCATATGGGATTCTGGCATTGTAGGCAGTGGCTTAACCTGTTATGCCACTATGTCAGTCCCCACCTCCTTCTTTTTGATGGCTAACTTTGCAAGGTACAGAATTCTAGACTTTTCTCCCCTCTCAATAATTTAAATATTTCATTCCACTGTCTTCAAACTTGCATGTTTTCTGAGGAGAAGTTGGACATAATTCTTACATTTGTTCCTCTACAAGTAAGGATTCCTGCCACCGCCCCGCCATCTCCATCTTTTTTTCTGGATTTTTTTCTTTCTGATTTCCTGTCATTTGAAAATTACATACGTAGATGAAGTTTTTCTAGCATTTATCCTGCTTGCTGTTCTCTGAGCCTCCTGGATCTGTAGTTTGGGGTCCAACCTTAATTTAAGGAAATTCTCAATCATTATTTCAAATATTTCTTCTGCTGTGTTCTCTATTTCTTCTCTGTCAGATATTCTCATTGCATGTCTGTTACGTGTTTTTGCACTTGCCCTACAGTTCTTGGATATCCTGGTTGTCTTTTTTTTTTTTTTTTTTTCTTTTGTTTGTCTTGTGGGTTTCTGCTGAGATGTCCTCAGGCTCAGAGACTCTTGTCTCAGGTGGAGAAGTCTATTGATGAGTTCACAAAGGCTTTTATCATTGGTGTTATACTTGTTTTTTTTGGTTTTAAAAAAATTACTTTTATTTACTTGAAAGCAGAGAGACAGAGACAGAGACAGACAAGAGCTCATTAGAGAGAGAGATCTTCCATGTACTAGTTCACTTTTCAAACACCCACAACAGTCAGAAGTGGGCCAGACTGAAGCCAGGAGTCTGGAACTCAATTTTGGTCTCCTCCATGGGTGGCCGGGATCCCACTACTTGAGCCATCACTTGCTGCCTCCCAGGGTGCACATTAGCAGGAAGCTAGAATTGGAAGTGAAGCTGAGACTCAAACCCATACACTCTGATATGGAATGTGGATGTCCCAAACCACTGTGCTGCATGCCATCTCCGTTACAGTGCTTTCAATTGAGCACTTCTTTTGATTCTTGCTTAGATCTTGCATCTCTGCTTATATTGCCCACCTGCTCTTGCATACATGTAGTCCACCTTATTAATTAGGACCCTCAGTATATTAAGCATAGGTGTTTTAAATACTTGGTCTGTTCTAATGCCTACTTTGTTTCTTTAAATTATGCTGTTTTTTAGTATCTCTTGTAATTTTTTTTTTCTTGATAGCTGAACATGATGTACTGTGTAAAAGGAATTGCGGTAAATACGCCTTCAGTAATGTAGTTTAAAGTTGGGAGACTGGGGGGTCCAGTGCTGTGGCACAGTGGGTTAACACCCTGGCCTGAAGCACTGGCATCCCATATGGGCATCAGTTCGAGTCCTGGCTGCTCCTTTTTCATCCAGCTCTCTGCTATGGCCTGGGAAAGCAGTAGAAGCTGGCCCAAGTTCTTGGGTCCCTGCATCCACATGGGAGACTCAGAAGAAGCTCCTGGCTTCTGGCTTTGGATCGGCGCAGCTCCAGCTGTTGCGGCCATCTGGGGAGTGAACCAGCGGATGGAAGACCTCTCTCTCTGTCTCTACATCTCTCTGTAACTCTGTCTTTCAAATAAATAAAATAAATCTTAAAAAAAAAAAGTTGGGAGACTGGGAAGTGCTCCGCATTCGTGGGCTCAGGTCTCAGTCCTTCAGCAAGCCTGTGTCTCTGGACTGCGAGCTGCACACTTGCTGCCCTCCCCGCCCTCCCACGTCCCTGCTGTGGGACTAGATGCCTAGAGGGATCTGAGCTGGACATCCTCCTTCCTCTAGATCAGTTAGGCTGGGTGAAATAGTCTCTCCTGAGGGCAAGCTTTGTCAAGAAGTTCAAAACTGGTTCTTTTTCCCCTCCCCCTGCTGGGAGCAGGTTTTTCTCAGATACTCACTGTAAAAGCTGTATAAAAGATGGGTGTTCAGCTTACTGTTTAAGCTGCCTAGATCCCATATCAGAGTGCCTGGGGTTTGGTACTCACCTCCAGCTCCTGACTCTAGCTTCCTGCTGATGTACACCCTGGAAAGCAGTGATGGCTCCGGTAACTGGTTTCCTGCCACCCATGTGGAAGGCTTGGATTCCTGGCTCAAGCTTTGGCTTGGCCAGCTGTTGAGAGTATATCTGTATCTGGGGATGTACCAGAGCATGGGAGCTCTCTTTGTCTCTTGCCCTCTCAAAAACAACAACAACAACAACAGAAACAATAAACAATCAAACAAAACCAATAAACTAACTCCAGGAGGTAAAATTCACCAAAGTGTGGGGACCCTGGGACCCCGAAATGATAGGGTTCCCTGGAGTTCTTAAATTTCCCAGACTTGTCCACACTGAGAGTCCAGCAGTTCATTAATTACAGCTCAGGTTTCTCTACCTGGGCACTGGTCCTCACAGAGGTTCCGCTCTTGTAGGCTGAGGTTCTGTTTGTAGTCCATTAGTCTCCAATTTCAGGAGCAGTGGTTTGCCCTGTGACCTCACCTCTCTGATTGAATTTAGAAGGGGTGTTGATTTTTCAGTCTGTTCAGCTTTTTACTTGTTAGGATAGGGCGGTGATGATTGCCAAGTTCCTTTCATGCGGAAGCAAAAACCAGAAGCTTCCACAAAACCTCAAAAGGACTTTCGTTTTAAGTTAATTAATTAATTAAATTTTTAAAAAGATTTATTTATTTATTTGAAAGGCAGAGTTACAGAGGCAGAGAGAGAGAGAGAGAGAGAGAGAGAGGGGTTTTCCATTCACTGTTTCACTCCCCAGATGGCCACAGTGGATGGGCTGGGCCAACTCGAAGCCAGGAGCCAGGAGCTTCTTCCAGGTCTCCCATGTGGGTGCAGGGGTCCAAGGACTTGGGCCATCTTCTACTGCTTTCCCAGGCCATAGCAGAGAGAGAGCTGAATTGGAAGTGGAGCAGCCAGGACTGGAACTGGTGCCCATATGGGATGTCGGCACTGCAGGCAGAGGCTTTACCTGCTACACCACAGCACCGGCCCCTAACAGGGCACCGCCCAGGACAGGGTTTGTAGAGCATCTGGGTTGAACACATGGAGGTGCAGGGAGGGTGGTACCCAGAGAGGGCACTCAAGTTCCACACCCACTGCCACATACCCTGTGCATTTCTTCTATCTGGCTGTTTCTGAGTTGTATCCTTTTATAATAAACCCATGAGCTAGTAAGGAAACTGTTTTCCTGAGTTCTGTGAGTCTAACAAAAGGTCAAACCTGAGGGTGGGCTGTGGGACCCTCCCCTCTATTGCTGGTTGGTTGGAAGCACAGGTAAAAACCTGAACTTGCAATTGGCATCTGAAATGAGTATAGTCTTGTGGGACTGAGCCCTTAACTTGTGGGATCTGAAGTTTCCAAACTGAGATAAATTCCTTATGCCGAGTTGGTGTCCACAGAGAACTACGGAACTTGCTTAGTGTTACTGAGGGGTCCAGATTCTTGTCTCTGACTTGTGAAAGAATTCAAGGACTAGACATAGCTAAAGGTTAGTGGAGGATTAAGCTTCATTAGCAAAGTGAAAGCACATACTTAAAGGGACAGTGGGCTCACTCTAGAGTGAGCTGCAACCCATGAGATTCAGGAGTCATCCTTCGACATGATCTGGAGTCACAGGTGATGGTGCTTTGGACAGAGTTTTCGGGAAAGGCCAAAGATTTCCAGGAATTTGATAACTTCTCATTTCTTGGCCTTTTTAGGAAGTCCTGGAAGCCTCATAGTGTATGATGGGAGTAGAAGTGTCAACCATGGCAATCCTATTATAGTGATATTATAATTGGTTACATATATAGGTCATTGCAGGATGCAGTCAGCAGTCACGTTGGGTATCTTCAGCCTGGCTGGTTCTGGCCAGTGGCTTCACAGTTGCTGGCCATGGAAGAAGTTTTAGAGGCAGCCCTGGGAGAGGGTGTGGTGACATACTTCCTCTGGCTCTTTCTCCCATCTCTGTCTGTCTTCTTGCCTGTAACAGTGTAAGAATACCCCACACAGCTGGTATCATAAGGGAAGTGCTAAGAGTAGCATTGAGTATGGAGAGGAAAAAAACAGGTTTGGGATTTTCCCCCTTTTTTCTTGTCTAGCACCAGCCAGTAGGTGAATGGCAGAGGATGAGACATTTGCAGGGGCTTCAAGGAGTTTCTGCAAATCTCCCACTTTGGTGCTGTAGGAGATGGCTTTCCTGTGATTTCTGAACCTCAGGGCTTTTTGGAAGCCAGCGGCAGTTCTTTCTGGCTATCCACTCTCCCCCTTCCCTGCCTTCAGACAGTTTCGTAAGCATCTTAAATTCCTGCTTGATTGTGTTTGGGCTCAGGACATATCATTCCAAAGCACAAGTACAGGAGACTAGAATATGCTACCTGGAAATATACTTTGGTGTCTTTTGAGTTGGTTGTTTTGAAAAACAGCAGACATGGGAGTAGCTCCCACAAGGATCCTTTTGTAGAAGCAATTACGTCCTTGAGGAAATCCCCATTAGTAAAAGTATCTGCACCGTCAGGAAGAGGGCGGCTCTTGTGTTACCGGAGAGACTTCCGCCAGCCCAACAGGACAGCCTCTATTCTCATGCTTTCCTCCTCTCACGTTCTCAGGACTTGTGTCCCTTCTGCCACCATCCCCAAGGGGCTATCCCTGGTTGTAGCTCAGGAGGAAGCTATCTATAGCACTATTTATAAGCTTTAATCATCTAATACTTCATGTCTCATTTGGCAAGACTCACATGTGTATGCACGTATTTAAAGTGGCTTTTCTCCTGTTGATCTGTTTTATGTCAATCCAGTTTGTAGTCCAGCCAAAGAACTTGGAAGGGTAGAGGACGCCATTCCCCTGCCACCCTTCCCTATCACCATCATCTTGACATACCTGGAGTAGTTTCTGCTTTCCTGATTGAACCCCTGACTAAAGCTAACAGGTGAAGTGCTGTCACTCAAGCCTGTAGGAACAGGGAGATGGAGACGCGTGTCTGTCTCCTTTCTTACCTCATCAGATTTTCTTTTCTCATTTTCCAGTTGTTTAAGGAGGGCTTCTTGTTGCTGAATTCTGGATTGTTGCTGATAACTGGTTATTTCCAGGCGGTTCTCTTTGTCCTGTAAGGTCTTCACTTGTCTTTGTAGCTCACTGACATCCTGATCTAAGAGTTTCCTGAGGGAAGTTAATGAACATTAAATCACATTGTGAATACCACAGCATTGCACACGAAACTCGGACTTAACATTCTGATACCTCCACAGGAGACTTTTTGCTTAAATAGATGGGGTATGTGTCCTCAGTGTAAAGGGACTGACATGGCAACCTCCTTTGTGTCAGAAACCTTTCTTAGTTCTCTCACACTCATCCAAGTTGCTCTCTGAGGAAGAAATAATTATCCAGGGCAGTGGATAAACAGGGCCATAGATTAAGGCCCTGCCTGCAATGCCAGCATTCCATAGAAGCAATGGTTTGAGTCCTAGCTGCTCTGCTTCCAATCTGGCTTCCTGCTAATGAGCCTGGGAAAGTAGTGCAGGATGGCCCAACTGCTTGGCCCTGTTACCCATGTGGGAGACTCAGATGGAATTCCAGGCTCCTGGTTTCAGCCTGACCCAGCCCCAGCCATTGTGACTATTTGGGGAGTGAACCAGCAGATGGAATCTCTCTCTCTCTCTCTCTCTCTCTCACTCTCACTCTAGCTCTTTCTCTCTGCCTTCCAGTCTCTCTTTCTCTCTCTAACTCTGCCTTTCAAATAAATAAAATAAATCTTTAACAAAATGAATTTTCCTTCTTTCAGATATGTGGAAGTTGTGGCAGGGGACATCCAGGACAAGGTAGAGGTAGGGTTCTAATCCTGAATCCCATATTCTTTCTTCCTCACAACATAAGGTCCTTATTTACAAACTCTACTGCTGCTAATGCATGCATGTTATCACTGGTACAGCTGAATCATGAAGGAGCCTGTGGCATTTGGTGAGAAAATTCACCCTTTTGCAAAAGAGGACCATTTGTACTTTCCTGCTTTGGAGAAAGTCTCATCAGGATACTGCTTGTGCAGAGTTCTTGAGGATTTGGGACCAAGGTTCTGTGAATTTAGAAGATTCCTCTTGAAGAATATGGTGATTATGGTTAGCAAAAATTCTTACCCACGCAAAAGGGCAGTCAAATACAAACACTGGACAAAAAGATTCTCTAACTTCAGTATTCTGAGAAGACAATGGATTATAGGGGGAGGGTATTTATATTCAAGATGTGGATTCAGATCTCTCCATCTCATTCTTCTAGTTACGTTGCTTGGAGTAGGCACAGGCTCTACAAGGACAGTTGTGGCTTCTACCATCCATACCTACCCGTATATCAACACACCCTCTTTCCTTCTTCTTCTTCTTCTTTTTTTTTTTTTTTTAAGATTTATTTATTTATTTGAAAGTCAGAGTTACAGAGAGAGGGAAAGAAAGAGGAAATTTTTCCATCCACTGGTTCATTCTTTAGATGGCTGTGATGACCAGGGCTGGGCCAGGCCAAAGCCAGGAGCTTCTTCCAGGTCTTCCATGTAGGAAGCAGAAACCTATGCTTTTGGGTCATCTTCTGCTTTTCCTGGGCCATGAGCAGGGAGCTGGATCAGAAGTGGAGTAGCCAGCACAGGAACCTTCACCCACAGGGGATGCAGGCAGCGACTTTACCAGTTATGCTGTTGCCAGCCCCACCACGCCCTCTTTCACGTGATTCACTGGATTCCCCTTACTGTTGTTGCTTACTTCTGCTTTTGGCTTTCATTCTTGATTTCTGATCAAAGGACTGCACTAAGAGATAAACCATGGACTAGTAAGAGTTGCTGAAACTAAACAACCTTGAATTATCTGTAGTAAAATTTGAGAGTTGAAAACTGGAATTTAAAAAAGTAGAAAGTTGGGGTTGGCATTGTAGCACAACAAGATTAGTCACCTGCATCATGTATAAGTGCTGGTTTGAGTCTCAGCTGCTCTACTTCAGATCCAGCTCTCTGCTAATGCACCCGAGAAAGCAGTAGAAGATGGCCCAAGGGCTTGGGCCTTGCCACTCACATGGGGGACCCAGATGGAGTTCCTTGCTTCTGGCTTTGACTGGTCTGGCCCAACACAGGCCATTTTTGTCATTTGAAGAGTGAACCAATGGATGGACAATCTCTCTCTCTCACTCTCCCTCTTGGTCTCTTTCTTCACCTTTCTCTGTTACTCTGCCTTTCAAATAAATCTTCAAAAATAAATAAATAAAAAGTAGGAAGTCAAAATGAAAACAGCAACTCATGAATATATCAGCAAATAATTCATATACCATATAGACAGTTTAGGCTATAAAAGACTAGTGAATAAAATTAAGAAATCTGGGGCCGGTGTTGTGGCGCGGTAGGTTAACACCCTGGCCTCAAGCACTGGCATCCCATATGGGCGCCGATTCAAGTCCCAGCTGCTCCACTTCCCATCCAGCTCTCTGCTATGGCCTGGGACAGCAGTAGAAGATGGCCCAAATCCTTGGGCCCCTGCACCTGCTGGGGACACCTGGAAGAAGCTCCTGGCTCCTGGCTCCTGGCTTCAGATCCTCACAGCTCCGGCCATTGCAGCCAACTGGGGAGTGAACCATTGGATGGAAGACCTCTCTCTCTCTCTCTCTCTCTCTCTGCCTCTCCTCTCTGTGTAACTCTGACTTTCAAATAAAAATAAATAAATCTTAAAACAAAATTAAGAAATCCATGGATTGATCACACTCTGTTTTTCTGCAGCCTGAGCCCTTCACAAGTCCATTCCCTACCTGGCGGTGAGAGCTTCTTTCTAATCACAATCTAATCCTATCACTCCCTCTTAAAACCCTTCAGTGGCTTCTACTGCTCTTGGACTAAAGCCTAAACCGTTCATTGTGGCTTGTTGTATGCCTCAGGCATGGGCTTAGCTGAACTCTGTAGTCTCACTTTCCTGCCAACCTCCTGATCCCAAACATTCTGTTCTTGCCAATGAACTTTCTTCACTTTCTCAAACAAGTGGTCTCCTTGGTATTCCTCTCCCACCTTCAACTCCAACCCTTTCCCTGTCTTCTTCCAGACTTCTCCTGGCATACTTTTCCCTACTTACCTTTCCCATACCAACTACTTCACTTCAGCTTCAGGAGTTTTGAAGGTTACTTTAAAAAAAATATTTATCTTGAAAGTTACAGTTACAGAGAGAGAAGGAGAGAGGGAAAAAGAAAAAGAGAGAGAGAGAGAGAGAGAGAGAGAGAGAGAGAGAGTCTTCAATCAGAGTCTTCAATCTGCTGGTTCACTACCCAGAAGGCCACCATGGCCAGTGCTGGACCAGGCCAAAGCCAGGAGCTGGGAGCTTTATCCAGGTCTCCCACGTGGGAACAGGGGCCCAAGCACTTGGGCCATCTTCCACTGCTTTCCTAGGTGCATGAGCAGGGAACTGGATCTGAAATGGAGCAGCCAGGATAGGAATCAGTGATCATATGGGATATAGGCATCTCAGGGAGCGTCTTTACCCACTATGCCACGATGCCTGCCAAGAGCAGCATTCTTAAGCACCTGAGCTCTGCAGCTGTCCCTGCTATGTGCCACCACAGAAACCTGTGCCTCCTTCAGTATAATACTCATCACATTTCACTGCAGTACCCAAGTCTATGTACATGGATATTCAATGCAGAAAAATTCATAATGGTAAAAGATGTCTAAAAGACATATTACATAAATTATGATATATTTGTGTAACAGAATGTTATACAACTGCTTAAAATGATACATATTATAAAACTATAGGCTGGCGGCGTGGCTTAATAGGCTAATCCTCTGCCGGTGGCGCCGGCACACCAGGTTCTAGTCCTGGTCAGGGCGCCGGATTCTGTCCCGGTTGCTCCTCCTCCAGTCCAGCTCTCTGCTGTGGCCCGGGAGTGCAAAGTGCTTGGGCCCTGAACCCGCATGGGAGACCAGGAGAAGCACCTGGCTCCTGGCTTCGGATCAGCGCGGTGCACCAGCCACAGCATGCTGGCCGCAGCGGCCATAACGGGGTGAACTAACGGAAAAAGAAGACCTTTCTCTCTCTCTCTTTCACTGTCCACTCTGCCTGTCAAAAAACAAAACAAAACAAAACAAAACAAAACCAAAAAACAAACAAACAAAAAAACCCATAAATCAATAACAAGAAAGTGATGGAAAAATCCCAAGTGTCTGGAGATAAACAACACACTTCTAATAATGTATGAATCAAAGATGACATCTCATGGGGAATTAAAAACATTTTGAAGCAAATAAAAATACAGCTTTTTAAAGAATTTGTGGGATATAGCAAAAGCAGGAACCTTGTAGAATTAAATGCATATATTATAAAGGAAGAAAAATTTGAAATAAGTCATCTAATCTTCCACCATAGGTAACTAGAGAAAGAATGGCATAAACTCCCACAATTGCTTATGACCAAACTCCTGTAAGAACTCCCTTGGGGCCAACATTGTTGCACAGCATGTTAAGCCACTGCTTGCAATACCAGCATCTCACAGTGCTGGCTCAAGTCTGTTCCAGCTGCTCTGCTTCTGATCCATCTTCCTCTTAACGTACCTGTGTGGGCAGCAAAAGATGGCCCAAGTACTTGAGCCACTGCCAACCATGTGGGAGACCACAGTGGAGTTTTTGGCTCCTGGCTTCAGCTTAGCTTGGCTGTTGCAGCCACATGGGGAGTGAACAAGTGGATGGAAAATCTCTTTTTCTTTTCCCTCCCTCTCTCACTCTGCCTATCAAATAAACAAAATAAATCTTAAGTATATATAAATATAAATGTATATATATGTACGCTTCCTACTGACTCTGTATCTCTGATTGAATCTTTACTGCTACAAGTGCTTATGTGCCAGGATATATATTATGTCATTGTAACTGCCAGACACTGGGAAAAATGTAAGTGACCAACAGTAAGGGATTCATTGAATAGATTATGGGGCAGGCATTTGGCCTAGCAGATAAGATGTGGGTTGGGATGCCTACATCTCATATGAGAATGCCTGGGTTTGATGTTTGACTGTAGCTCCTGATTTCAGCTTCCTACCAGTGCAAACCCTCAAGTGGTTAGGTCCTTGTCACCCACATGGGAGACCTGGATTGAGTTTTTGGCTCTGTTACCAGCCCAGCACTGGCTGTTGCATGTATTTGGGGGCTTACCAGGTAGGAGCTCTGTCTCTCTAGTAAATAAATACAATTTTAAAACAGTAAATTCTGGCATGCTATTAAAATAATATTCTAGAAAGAGAAGAATTAATATCAGATAAACAGATCATGATACTTCATATATACATTAACTCATTCATTGATTCAAACTTTCATTCATTCAATAAATATTTATTATGAACCTATTGAGTGCCAGAGTCTATGCTATAGCTTTCACTGAAGGTGCAAGTAAGTTTCTGAGCTACAAAGTAAGTGGGAACATCTTCATATCTTTTCAGGGGCTAAAACCACATTTCTCTCAAAATGTATGTGGACCACTCTGAATGTCATGTAAATAAGAAGCACCAGTTACTGAAGTTGAAGGCATTCAAAAGGATGCTTTGTGTAAGAATTGTAATGACATTCATAGTAATTTTAGAAAAAAAAATAAACAACTGAACTGATAGTAGGTGATTAAGATACTTACATAGTACTTGGAACCAGTTTGAGGAAGGTCAGCTAATAAATACAAAATATCAACACCACTGTCATCTGCATTTGTGTCAGTCATGTCAAGGAGTTAGAAAAGCAAATCCTAGACTATCAAATTTCCTGGGTAATCCTGACATTCAAGGAAATTCACTGGTGCACCTGCTGTGTCTCAGAACAAGAAGTAACCTCCCCTGAAGAATCCCACACTCCAGTGGCAGAGGCAAACAGGAAAATAAACAGAATACAGTGAGGTAAGTGCTATATATAAGCAGTTGTGTGATGAGTTTACCCAGTGGGACAGAGGAGAAATAAACAGTACGTTGGTAAACTGACACCACGGATGAACTCCAGTCACTGCTAAACCCAAGTGTCAAGCTGTCTTGGCTGCTCTTACCTCCTCTGTTGTTCTTCCTGATACTGTTGCTTCACTTTAGCTTCATTTTCTAGTGCTTCTTTGATCTTCTCCTCCAGTTGCTTCTTCTTCAAAATACAAGTGTCTGTGAGACAGATTTTCTGAGCATATTCCAGTTTCTGTTGCAGTTCCACAATCTTGAATGAAATCAGTTTACAAGTAAAATGTTAAGAAAAGTATGACCTTTTTCAAATTAGAGAAATAGCAAATAAATTCAAATACAGCAGGGCTAACATATAAATCTGATCTAAAGTGTGTGGTTAGATTTAATCTATCTTTAATGAAATCAGTTTACAAGTAAAATGTTAAGAAAAGTATGACCTTTTTCAAATTAGAGAAATAGCAAATAAATTCAAATACAGCAGGGCTAACATATAAATCTAATCTAAAGTGTGTGGTTAGATTTAATCTATCTTTAAAAAAAATCTCACAGAGGGAGGGAGGGAGGGAGAGAGAGGGAGAGGGAGAGGGAGAGAGAGAGAGAGAGAGAGAGGGAGAGGGAGAGGTTGATAGAGTTGGAGAGTGTGAGGGAGAGGCGCTAGCGAGAGGGAGAGGGAGAGGGAGAGGGAGAGGGAGAGAGAGAAATCTCTTTCACTAATTCACTTGCCAAATGCCCACAATGGCTGGGGTGGGTGCAATCTAGGTCTCCCATGTGAGTGGCAACCACTTGAGCCATCACCACTTCTCCCAGAGTCTGCCTTAGCAGGAAGCTGGGATCAGGAACTAGAGCTGGAACTTGAATGCAGGTACTCCAATGTGTGAAGTAGATGTCTTAGCTGGTAGGCTCAAGGCCCACTCTAGATTTATCTTAATTTTAAAATAAACTACTCAGTTTTTGCCATATGTGATGTGTGTATAAAAGATGTTGCATAGTGAAAAATCTCCCATCCCTGAGCCATTTCCTCCCAGTTTTCCTCCACCAAATAGGTGACCTTGTTATTAGCTTCTTGTGTACTCTTTCAGAGATTTATGTACATATAACAAACATTTATAGTTCTCCCCATACACACAAAAATTTTTAATAAATGATGACATACTATATGCAAGTGTGTATCTTGTTTTTTCAATAATAACAATTTGGTGATTCTTCCATATCCATATACACATGGAATTGTCTTCTTTGCATTTTTTTTAAAGATTTATTTATTTATTCGAAAGTCACAGTTACACAGAGAGAGAGAGAGAGGCAGAGAGAGAGAGAGAGAGAGAGATAGAGAGAGAGAGAGAGAGAGAGAGGTCTTTCATCTGATGGTTCACTCCCCAATTGGCCGCAACAGCCGGAGCTGTGCCAATCTGAAGCCAGGAGCCTCCTCCAGGTCTCCCACATGGGTGCAGGGGCCCAAGGACTTTGGCCATCCTCCACTGCTTTCCCAGGCCATAGCAGAGAGCTGGATCGGAAGTGGAGCAACCGGGTCTCGAACTGGTGCCCATATGGGATGCTGGCACTTCAGGCCAGGGCATTAACCCACTGCGCCACAGAGCCAGCCCCATCTTCTTTGCAGCTGTATACCATCACACTGTATCGATATACTATAAACTACTTAACCAGCCCCCTACTGATGCACATTTAGGTGGATTCCAAATCTTTTACTACTACAAATAATACTATTTTAATGTCTATAGAGTAAACTATGAGATGTGGATTTGCTAGGGCAAAGCTTACTAGTTTGTATTTGAAAGATAGTGCCAAACTACCTCCATAGGTTATCAGACAAATCTATACTTCCAATAGCATTATGTGAAAGAGTCATTTCTCCACAGTGTGGCTAAATTAATGAATAATACCTCAAAACAAAGTAGAAGTCTCTTACAAATGAAGTATCTGTTAGTATATTGCCTAGTTTTAATAATGGCCTCTTTAATGCCCTGGTAAACTAAAAATGATTTATGAATTTGAAAGAGATATTTTTATAAAATTATATATTACAATTTATATGTTGGATTAAAAGTGGTGCTTTGGGTCTGGCGTTGTGATGTAGCAGGTTAAAATACTGTCTGCAGTTTCAGCATCCCATATGTGCACTGGTTCAAGTTCCAGATGCTCCACTTCCAATCCAGCTCCCTGATAATATGCCTGGGAAAGCAGCAGAGGGTAGTTCAGGTCCTTGGGGCCTTACCACCCGTGTGGGAGATCTGGACTGAGTCCTAGCTTCAGCCTGGCACAGTCCAGGCCGTAATGGGCTTTTGAAAGGAAGTGAACCAGAAGCTAGTGCTGTGGCATAGTGGGTACAGCCGCTACCTGCAGCACTGGCATCCCATATGGGTACCAGTTTGAGTCCCAGCTGCTCCACTTTACATCTATCTCCCTGTTAATGCACCTGGGAAAGCAGTGGAGGATGGCCCAAGTGCTTGGACCCCTGCACCCAAGTGGGAGACAAGGAGGAAGCTCCCATCCCCTGACTTCAGCCTGGCCCAGCCCTGGACATGTGGCCATTTGGGGAGTGAACCAGTGGATGGAAGAACTCTGTCTCTCCTCTTTATCGCTCTGAAACTGACTTTCAAATAAATAAATAAGTAAAAATTATATAAAAAAAGAAAGCAAACCAGTAGATGGGAGATCTCTTTGTCTGTCTGTGTACCTGCCCTGTTTGTGTCTGTATTTCAAATAAATAAAGATTAAAAAAATAGAACTGTGACTGCTCACATTGCTATTTTCAATGGAAATCATACTTAGAAGACAAATCTCAGGAAATTTTACAGTCAGAACAAAAACAAGAAGAAATTAGAAAACTAAAATACACTGTTGGAGTACAAGATACTATCGGCCGGTGCCGTAGCTCACTAGGCTAATCCTCCACCTTGTGGCACTGGCACACCAGGTTCTAGTCCCGGTCGGGGCGCCGGATTCTGTCCCGGTTGCCCCTCTTCCAGGCCGCTCTCTGCTATGGCCAGGGAGTACAGTGGAGGATGGCCCAGGTCCTTGGGCCCTGCACCCCATGGGAGACCAGGATAAGTACCTGGCTCCTGCCATCGGATCAGTGCTGTGCGCCGGCTGCAGCGCGCTGGCCGCGGCGGCCATTGGAGGGTGAACCAACGGCAAAAGGAAGACCTTTCTCTCTGTCTCTCTCTCACTGTCCATTCTACCTGTCAAAAACAAACAAACAAACAAAAGATACTATCAAACAACCCAACATACAGGTCTTAGGAGTTCCTGAAAACATGGAAAGAGAGAAAGGATTAGAAGGCTTTTTAGTGAAATAATGATAGAAAATTTCTCTAATTTGGAGAAATAAAGGGACATCCAAGTACAGGAAGCACATAGAACTCCTAAGAGACACGACCAGAAAAGATTTTCACCATAATACATTGCAATCAAACTCTCTATAGTAAAACATAAAGAAAAGATTCTAAAATGTACACAAGAGAAATGCCAGATTACTTTCAGAAGATCTCCAATTAGACTCACAACTGACTTCAGATCAGAAACTCTACAGGCTAGGTGAGAATGGCAAGATATATTCCAAGTCGTAAGAGAAAAAACTATCAACCCAGAATACTATATCCTGCAAAGCTCTTATTTATGAATGAAGGTGAAATAAGACCTTCCATAACAAACAGAAATCGAAAGAATTTGTCACCAACCATCTAGCCTTACAAAAGATGCTTAAGGATGTGGTACTCATAGAAACACAGAAACATGGTCATCACTTACAAAAGAAGGCAAAGGCAGAAAATTTCCCAATAAAAGTAAAAAGGAAATCCAAAGTAAACAATAAGAATATTTATGGAAAAATGCAGGGCGAAATCATTACTTATCAGTAGTCACTTTAAATGTAAGAGGCTTCAACTCTCCTGTTAAAAGATACAGACTGGTGGAATGGATTAAAAAACAAAACCCGGCCGGCGCCGCAGCTCACTAGGCTAATCCTCCGCCTTGCGGCGCCGGCACACCGGGTTCTAGTCCTGGTCGGGGCGCCGGATTCTGTCCCGGTTGCCCCTCTTCCAGGCCAGCTCTCTGCTGTGGCCAGGGAGTGCAGTGGAGGATGGCCCAAGTGCTTGGGCCCTGCACCCCATGGGAGACCAGGAGAAGCACCTGGCTCCTGGCTCCTGCCATCGGATTAGCGCGGTGCGCCGGCCGCAGCGCGCCGGCCGCGGCGGCCATTGGAGGGTGAACCAACGGCAAAAGGAAGACCTTTCTCTCTGTCTCTCTCTCTCTCTCACACTGTCCACTCTGCCTGTCAAAACAAACAAACAAACAAACAAACAACAAAAACAACAAAAAACAAAACCCATCTATTTGCTTCCTACAAGAAACACATCACCAACAAAGACATGCAGACTGAAAGTGAAAGGATGGAAAAAGATATTCCACACTAGCACAAACCAAAAACAAGCTGGTGTAGCCATCGTAATATCAGACAAAACACAAAAGCTTTAACACAAAACACAAAAACATTAACATAAAAACTGTTAAAAGAGACAAAGAAGGCACTATGTAATGATTAATGCATCAATTAAGATACGATACAGAAAGAGAACTACAGACCAATTTCACTGATGAACATAGATGTAAATATCTTCAACAAAATACTAGCCAATCCAATCCGACAACACATCAGAAAGATCATTCACCCAGACCAAGTGGGATATATCCCTGTTATGAAGGGATGGTTCAACATTTGCAAATCAATCAATGTGATACACCACATTAACAACTGGTGAACAAAGATCATATGATTATCTCAATAGATGCAGAGAAAGCATTTGATAAAATACAACACACTTTCAACACTCTGAGAAAATTGGGTATAGAAGGAACATTCCTTAACACAATCAAGGCAATTTATGACAAACCCACGGTCAGCATCCTATTGAATGGGGAAAAGTTGGAAGCATTTCCACTGAGATCCAGAACCAGACAAGGATGCCCAATCTCACCAGTGCTATTCAATATAGTCCTGGAAGTTTTAGCCAGAGTTGTTAGGCAAAAATAAATAAATAAATAAATAAATAAATTAAATAAATTAAAATCAACGGGATACAGATTGGGAGGAGGAAGTCAAACTGTCCCTATTTTCAGATGACATGATTCTCTATATAGAGGTTCCAAAAGACTCCACTAAAAGTATATTGGAACTCATAGAAGAGTTTGGTAAAGTAGCAGCATATAAAATCAACACATAAAAATCAATAGCCTCCATATACACAAACAATGCCATGGCTGAGAAAAAACTTCTAAGAGCAAGCCCATTCACAATAGGAACCAAAAAGGTGAAATACCTTGGAATAAATTTAACCAAGGATATCAAAGATCTCTTTTGTAATTCTCATTACAAAACATTAAAGAAATAAATAGAAGACACAAAATAAATGGAAAAATCTGCCCTGGTCATGGATTGGAAGAATCAGTATCATCAAAATGTACATACTACCAAAAGCAATTTACAGATTCAATGCAATACCAATCAAAATACCAAGGACATTCTTCTCAGATATAGAAAAAATGATGCTGAAATTCATATGGAAATACAGGAGATTCCAAATAGCTAAAGCAATCTTATACAACAAAAACAAAGCCAGAGGCATCACAATGCCAGAACTCAAGCATACTACAGGATAGTTATAATTAAAACAGCCTGATACTGGTACAAAAATAGATGGATAGGCCAATGGAACAGAATAGAAACACTAGAAATCAATCCAAGCATCTACAACCAACTTATATATTTGACAAAGGAGCTAAAATCAATCCTTCAACTAATCAGTCTCTTAAACAAATGGTGATGAGAAAAGTGGGTCTCTACATGCAGAAGTATGAAGGAAGACCCCTACCTTACACTTCACACAAATATCCCCTTAAAATGGATTAAAGACCTAAATCTGTGACCCAATACTATCAAATTATTAGAGAGCATTGGGGGACCCCTGCAAGACAGTGGAATAGCAAGGAGTTCTTGGAAAAGACCCCAGAGGCACAGGCAATCAAAGCCAAAATTGACAAATGAGATTACATCAAATTGGGAAGCTCTGTACTGCAAAGAAACAGTCAGGAAAGTGAAGAGGCAACCAACAGAATGGTAGAAATTATTTGAAAACTATACAACTGATAAAGGATTAATAACCAGAACATATAAAGAGATCAAGACACTCAACAACAACAAAACAAACTATCCAGTTAAGTGGGCAAAGGACTTAAACATTTTTCAAAGGTGGAAATCCAAATGGCCAACAGACACGTGAAAAAATGCTCAGGATCATTAGCCATAAGGAAAATGCAAATCAAAACCACAATGAGGTTTCACCTCATCCACATCAGAATGGCTTACATACAGATATCAACAAACAAAAAATGCTGGCAAGGATGTGGGAAAAAAGGTACTCTAATTCACTGTTGGTGGGAATGTAACCTGGTAAACCCCCTATAGAAGCCAGTATGGAGATACTTCAGAAATCTGAATATAGACCTACCATATGACCCAGCCATCCTTGTCCTGGGAATTTCCCAAAGGGAAATGAAATCAGCAAATGAAAGTGTTATCTGCAGTGCAATTCATAATAGCTAAGACATGTAATCAACCCAAATTCCCATCAACTGAAGACTGGATAGGAGATTATGGGGGGGGGGGGGGGAGCAGCACTGTGGCTCAGCAGGTTAATGCCCTGGTCTGAGGAGCTGGCATCCCATATGGGTGCCAGTTCAAGACCTGGCTGCTCCACTTCCAATCAGCTCTCTGCTATGGCCTGGGATAGCAGTAGAAGATGGCCCAAGTCCTTGGGCCCCTGCACTCGCGAGGGAGACCTAGAGGAAGCTCCGGGCTCCTGGCTTCAGATTGGCACAGCTCAGGCTGTTGTGGCCATTTGGAGAGTGAACCAGCGGATGGAAGACCTTTTTCTCGGTCTCTCCATCCCACTATATGTAACTCTACCTCTCAAATAAATAAAATCTTAAAAAAAAAAAAAGAAATTATGGGATACATACACCATGGAATACTACACAGTGGAGAGGGAGGAGAAAGAGGGGTGGGAGGGCAGGTATGGTGGGAAGAATCACTATGTTCAGAAAGTTGTATTTATGAAATACATAAAATTTGTATTCTTTAAATAAAAGTTTTTTTTGGGAAAAAAATCACTGCTTTCTTTTCAAGGGATAAGTATTAAGGTATTCTTCCATATTTTGTTGAGTCATGTACATTTGGTCAAGAAAAAAATAAAGCCTGTGGCCGGCGCCGCAGCTCACTAGGCTAATCCTCCGCCCAGCGGCGCCGGCACACCGGGTTCTAGTCCCAGTCGGGGCGCCGGATTCTGTCCCGGTTGCCCCTCTTCCAGGCCAGCTCTCTGCTGTGGCCAGGGAGTACAGTGGAGGATGGCCCAGGTGCTTGGGCCCTGCACCCCATTGGAGACCAGGAAAAGCACCTGGCTCCTGCCTCCTGCCATCGGATCAGCGCGGTGCGCGGCGGCCATTGGAGGGTGAACCAACGGCAAAAGGAAGACCTTTCTCTCTGTCTCTCTCTCTCACTGTCCACTCTGCCTGTCAAAAAAAAAAAAAAAAAAAAGCCTGGTAATAGAATAACAAAAAAAAGTCATCAATCTTCATTAACTTCATCAGTTACTTTATCATTTTAAAAATATTTATTTATTTACATATGTATATATGTATGTATGTGAAAAGCTGAATGACAGACAGAGAGAGATAGACAGAGAGAGATAAGAGATTTTCTATCCACAGATTCACTCCCCAAATGGCTTCAACAGCAAGGTCTGAGCCAAGTCAAAGCCAGGAGCCAGTAACTCCATCCTGATCTCCAACGCGGATGGCAGGGATGCAAGCACTTGGGCCATCTTCCGCTGCCTTCCCAGATGCATTAGCAGGAAGGTGGACTGCAAGCAGAGTAGCCAGAGCTTGAACCAATACTCAGAGATGGGAAGTGGGCGTCCCAAGTGGTGGCTTAACAAGTTGTACCACAATTGGTTTTTTAAAAATAAAGTAATAACATATGTATGGTAAGTAACACACATACATTTGGTAATTAACATAAATATTTTAAGTATGTTAGATAAAATTTTATTTATAAAGTTTTACTTACATAACTGCTTCCCAGACCAAGATATAGAATGCCTCCAGTAGCATGGAAGATTCTCTCAGGCCCCTTTTAGTAGACATCCCTCATAAAGATAATTACTATCCTATCTCTATAGCTTAGTTTTATCTATTCTTGAATTTCAACAAACAGATTCATACAGGATAAACTATTTTGTGCTGCCTTATTTAGCTCAACCTTAGACTTTTTATTTTTTAAGAATTTTTATTTATTCATTTTAATTTTATTTGAAAGGCAGAGGGCAGAGAGCAAGAGCAAGAGTGAGAGAGAGAGAGAGAGAGAGAGAGAGAGAGAGAATCTTTCATTTGCTGATTCACTCTCCAAATGGTGTAACAGTGTGGAGCCAGGAGCCTGGAGCCAGGAGCCAGGCACTCCATTCAGGTCTCCCAGTACTTGAGCCATCATCTGCTGCCTCCTTAGGTGTGCATCAGCAGGAATCTGGATGGGAAGCAAAGCCAGGACTTAAGCCAGACACTCTGATACAGGTTCTGACTTGTCCCAAGTGGCATCTTAACCTTGACACCAAAGAAATACCCCAGATTTTTTATTTTTTTATTTATTTTTATTTTTATTTTTGACAGGCAGAGTGGACAGTGAGAGAGAGAGAGACAGAGAGAAAGGTCTTCTTTTGCCGTTGGTTCACCCTCCAATGGCCGCCGCGGCCGGCGCGCTGCAACCAGCGCATCGCGCCGATCCGATGGCAGGAGCCAGGTGCTTCTCCTGGTCTCCCATGGGGTGCAGGGCCCAAGGACTTAGGCCATCCTCCACTGCACTCCCTGGCCACAGCAGAGAGCTGGCCTCGAAGAGGGGCAACCGGGACAGAATCCGATGCCCCGACAGGACTAGAACCCGTGTGCCGTGCCGCAGCGGAGTATAGCTATGAGGCTCGGCGCAGCAATACCAGATTTTTAGGTATCAGAGTAAGTCTTCTACTTTATATTGCTTATAGTATATAGTTTGATGCAATTATTTAAGTTTTTACTCAAACCTACACATAAAATTGTGTAACCGTTATGTACTACTGCCACCTGGTGTTAAGCACCCTAAAATGCAGGGACAATATTTCAAAATGGTTCGTTTCATTCACAAGACAAATAGCTGTAAAAAGTCACAAAACAAAAAAACTCATATGGGCTCAGTCAGTTCTAGCTTTAATGAAATTTATCTTTTTAAGTTCACGCAGTTTTAAAAAATGCAACATTTGCTGGAATTGTAGGAATGGATGCAATCAAAAGAATTGAAAACATGGTAAAGATAAAACAGAATTCTATCAAGTACGCATCGCATCTATTTCTTAGCATCCTCAGAGAAACAGGGCTCCAGCAGTGGTACCCGGGGCTCCCTGCCTCCCGAGTGTGACGGGAACTACCTTTTCCTCTGCGCTGGCAGCCTTCGATTTCTCCTGAGCCAGCCTTTCCTGCAGGGTGCGCTGCGCTTTGATGCTCTGAGCCTGTTTGAGTCCCTCCAGCTCCAGTTCCTTGATTTTCTGCTGACAGTGCTTCCACTCTGCCGTGAGGGAGGAGTACATCTTTGTGCTGTCCAGTAACTTCTGTTGGGCTTGCTGTAGCTCAATTTTCATCTAGAGGTGGGGGATGAATCCAATTGATATCAACAATAAGGATGGCATGAATGGGAATCTGAGCTGGAATAGGCAGCTTTCAAAGGAGGGCACACAAACACCAAAGGCTGACACATGCCAGCAGCACGTGACTGATTGCCTTTCTGGACTGTCATGCGTCTGTCAGATTAGTTCATCTAGTCAGACAGAGGTGGGACAAAGGGATTTTCTTAAGGGTTTTCTATACACATGTGGTTGAAGCATTTGCACATGTTCTTCTATTCACTCCAAGCTGGATTTCTTCCTTCCTTTTAAAAGATTTACTCATTTATTTGAAAAGCAGAGAACACGCGAGATCTTCCATCTACTGCTTCATTCCCCAATTGTGCCCAGTAGCCAAGGTTAGGCCGGGTCAAAGCCAGGAGTCTGAAACTCAATCTGGGTCTCCCACAAGGGTGGCAGGGACCCAAGAACTTGAGCCACCCCTGCTGCCTCCCATGGTGTGCATTAGCAAGAAGTGGATCAGAAGAGACCTGGGACTGGAGCCCAGGGACCCAGGTGTGGGATGTCATTGTTCCAAGTAGCGATGTCACTTTGTCACTGATGCACCAAATACCTGCCCCAAGGACTGCCTTATTTTTTATTTATTTATTTGAATGGGTTACAGAAAGAGGGAGAGACAGAAAGATATATGAGAGAGAGAGAGAGAGAGTGTATGTGTGTGTGTGTGTGTGTGTGTTCCATATGCTGGTTCATTTCCCAAATGGCTGCAATGGCCAGGGCTGGGCCAGGAGGAAGCCAGGAACCAGGAACTTCCCACGTAGGTGGTAGGGCCTTAAACAGTTGGGCCACCCTCTGCTGCTTTCCCAGGCCTTTAGCTGGGTCAGAAGTGAAGCAGCCAGGACATGAATCGGCGCCCACATGGGATGCCGGCATCATGCATGTTTTTTTTTACTCATTTCCCGTGTTTGAGGCCAATCCAAGTGCCAGACAGTAGGCAGTTAATCAGTATTCACTGTGCAGGTAAATTTATTCTGAGGAATGTCAGAACCTGGAGAATGTATATATTAGCAGGGAAGCCTCACAGGAAAAAATGTTACAACAAATTTTTATTTGTCCTCATGGAAAGCTGTGTTCACTGGTTTCAAAGCTTTTCAACTAAGTTAATGGGAATTATAATTACAATATCTTTTCTATATTTAACTTCTATGTATTAACCATAGTATATAAAATGGGTCTAAACGTTATTGGTGTTCAGTCTCTTTGAGCATCAGTCTCTTCATCTGTAATATGGGGCTAATTACTGCTTAAATTTATAGGATACTTGTGAGACTGTAGTAAGTAAAACAAAGCAATTAGAACATGAAGAATAGAGGCAGATACATAGGAAACACCTAGTAAAAGTTAACTGTTGATGGGGTGGACATTTGGCACAGTGATTAAGTCACTGTTTGGAAAGGCCACCAGAGTGACTGATTCAAGTCCCAGCTACTCTGCTTCTGATCCAGCTTCCTGCTAATGTAATCTTGGGAGGCAACAGTGACGGCTTGAGTACCTGGGTCCCTGATATGTATGTGGGAGACTTTGATAGTGTTCTGGCTATGGCCTGGCTCAGCCCTGGCTGGTGTGGGTATTCGGGGGAGTGAATCAGCAGATGGAAGGTTTCTTCTTCTTCATTTTCTAAAGAAGTTTTATTTATTTATTTGAAAGACAGAGTTACAGAGAAGCAGAGGCAGAGAGAGAGAGAGAGAGAGAAAGAGAGAAAGAGAGAGAGAGAGATCTTCCATCTGCTGGTTCACTCCCCAAATGGCTGCAATGGCCAGAACTGGGCTGATCCAAAGCCAGGAGCCAGGAGCTTCTTCCAAGACTCCCACACGGGTGCAGGGGCCCAAGCACTTGGTCCATCTTCTACTGCTTTCCCAGGCCATAATAGAGAGCTAGATCAGAAGCAGAACAGCCAGGTCTTGAACTGGCACCCATATGGGATGCCAGCACTTCAGGCGGTGGCTATGCTACATCGCTGGCCCCCAGATGGAAGATTTCTCCCTGTCTGTCTCTCTTTCTGTGTGCCTTTCAAATAAGATGGAAAAAAATCTAAAAGTTAACTGTTGTCATTCAAGGATCAGTTATAGAATACTTATTGTATATGAAGCATGTAACTGAAATATTACTTTTTCATGTGTTAAATTTTTCACATCTACAAAGTCACTGGGATTGGTAATTTGCTCCATTTTAGAGATGAAAATACTGTATTATAGGGGCCAGTGCTGTGGTGCCACTGGTTAAAGCCCTGGCCTGCAGTGCTGGCATCCCATACAGGTGCTGGTTCGAGTCCTGGCTGCTCCGCTTCTGATCCAGTTCCCTGCTAATGGCCTGGGAAAGCAGTGGAAGATGGCCCAAGTCCTTGGGCCCCTGCACCCATGTGGGAGACCTGAAAGAAGCTCCTGGCTCCTGGCTTTGGATCAGCTCATCTCTGGCCACTGTGGCCATTTAGGAAGGAACCAGAGAGAGACCTCTCTCTCTTTGTAGCTCTGCTTTTCAAATATAAAATACACTTTTTAAAAAAACTATTATATAAAGTTGGCAAATGAGAGATCCAGGTCTGCAAAACAGATTTTCTGATTCTGATCCAGGACTTCACACTACATTGACTATGACATACATGTATTTATTATCTCGCTAAAAAGAATATAATACAGTTGATCAACAAAGGTAGAAGTTGGTCCTTTGAAAAGTCTACTAAAGTGAATCAACTTCTTAATTAGTACGACTAATTAAGGAAAAAGCAATATAACATAGGTAACTAACAAGAAAGTAAAAAGAACCATCACTACATTAAAAAAAGAAGTGGTGGGGCTGGCACTGTGGCATAGTAAGGGCGCCGCCTGCAGTGCTGGCATCCCATATGGGTGCCAGTTCGAGATCTGGCTGCTTCACTTCCAATCTAGCTCTATGCTGTGGAATGGGAGAGCAGTAGAAGATGGCCCAATTCCTTGGGCCCCTGCACCTTCATGGGAGACCCAAAACAATCTCCTGACTCCTTGCTTCAGATCAGCCCAGCTTCTGGCAGTTGTGGCCAACGGGGGAGTGAACCAGTGGATGGAGGACCTCTCTCTCTCTCTCTCTCTCTCTGCCTCTCCTTCTCTCTGTAACTCTGACTTTCAAGTAAATAAATAAATCTTTATAAAAAATAAAAGAAGTTGGGCTTATGTTGTGCAGCAGGTTAATCTGTTACTTGCAGTGCCAGCATCCCATTTGGGGACTGGTTCAAGTCCCAGCTGCTCCACCTCTGATCCAGCTCTCTGTTTATGTGCCTGGGAAAGCAGCAGAGGATGGCCCAGGTACTTGGGTCCTTGTCACCCATGTGGGAGACCTGATGGAGTTCTGGGTACCGGCTTTGGCTTGACCCAGCTCTGGCTATTGTGGCCATTTAGGGGAGTGAACCAAGTGGATGGAAGATATCTCTCTCTTGTCATTCTGCTTTTCAAATAAATAAAAAAAAGTTTCTGTAGACATTTTAGAAATTTAAATGAAACCGAAAAATTGTCTAGAAAAATAAAATATACCAAAGCTGATACAAGAAGAAAGTTTGAAAACTTGATTTCTCCTAACTATTAAAGAAAAAGAACCAGCAATTGGCTTCAGTTTGGTTTTCCAAATGAAAATTCTAGAATGAGAAGGCTTCAGGGATGAGATCTTGTAAAAATTCAAGAAACCATTGCAATTTTACACAAATTCTTTCAGAGAGTAGAAAAAGTGAGTGCACCACCCATCTTATTTTACAACGACACATCCAACAAGAGCATTACAAGAAAGAAAATGACATGCAAGTCTCACTCAAGCACAAAGAAACAAAATTCCTAAAGGAATATTAGCAAGCGAAATGGAGCAATGTAGGAAAGGGATGCTAATTTACAATAAAGTATGACTTAACTCTGGAATGCTAAGGTGGGTTAACATTATTAACAGATTGAAAATTTTTCTTAATATTGCCTTTTCTCAAAATATTCAGGAAAATAGTTTCATGAAATTCAGCACGCATTTACAATAAAACATTGAGCAGGGGCTGGCACTGTGGCGTAGCAGGTAAAGCCACCGTCTGCAGTGCTGGCACCCCATGTGGATGCCGGTTTGAGTCCCGGCAGCTCCACTTCTGATCCAGCTTTCTCTCTGCTATGACCTGGGAAAGCAGTAGAAGATGGCCTAAGTCCCTGGGCCTCTGCACCTACGTGGGAGACCCGGAAGAAGCTCCTGGCTTCTGGCTTCGGATCAGCTCAGCTCCGGGTGTTGCAGCTATCTAGGGAGTGAATCAGCGGATGGAAGACCTCTCTCTCTCTGTAACTCCGCCTTTCAAATAAATAAATAAATCTTCTAAAAAAAAAAAAAATCTGAGCAAAGTCACACTACAAAGTAGTTTCCTTATAATGATTTTTTTTCCCATTGGTTCACCCCCCAGTGGCTGCTGTGGCAGGCGCACTGTGCTGATCCGAAGCCAGGAGCCAGGTGCTTCTCCTGGTCTCCCATGTGAGTGCAGGGCCCAAGGACTTGGGCCATCCTCCATTGTCTTCCTGGGCCATAGCAGAGAGCTGGACTAGAAGAGGAGCAACGGGGACAGAATCCAACGCCCCGACCGGGACTGGAACCCGCAGTGTCGGCGCTGCAGGTGGAGAATTAGCCTAGTGAGCTGCAGAGCCGGCCTCCTTACAATAATTAAAAAAAAATTTAAAAGGCTTACAAAAACATATTAAATTATATAATTTGAGAGTTTCTCTTTTGAGATTAGGAATGAGAAAAGGATGCCTACTATCACCAGTTTTTTGTTTTGTTTTTTGTTTTTTTTTTTTTTTTTTGACAGGCAGAGTGGACAGTGAGAGAGAGAGAGACAGAGAGAAAGGTCTTCCTTTTGCTGTTGGTTCACCCTCCAATGGCCGCCACGGCCGGCGCGCTGCAGCCGGCGCACCACGCTGATCCGATGGCAGGAGCCAGGTACTTATCCTGGTCTCCCATGGGGTGCAGGGCCC